ATATATATATATATATATATACTTACTGTGCTTTGAACTTCCTTAAAAAATAATTGAATTCATCTTTCTGGCACACCTAAGATACTCTCATGGCATATCAGTTGAAAATTACTGTATAGAGATTTGAAATAAAATTTTCATTATTTTCTGTGTACTCTTTGCCTAAATTTACTTGCTTTTTTCTTTTATCTTAGGATCTGAGCAGCAAAGATATGAAGAGAGATTTGTATATAGTTGCCCATGTGATCCGAATAGGTATTCTTCACCTATCCATTCATACAACTAAGACTGGCCCAACTTGGGATAAGTATCTCCTATGCATGAACTTTGTTTTCTCCCGGATTCTACCTGTTAATCTCAAGTCTCTAGACTGGAGTTCAGCTTGTATTGGAGCTCTACCTTAAGCTTAGTTGCCATGGTAGCTGGGTTTGACATAAATGGATGATTTCTTTTTGGTTTGTTTTCTGAGGGAAAGTTTGTCTCTTGAAATCTGCACACCATTTGGTTTTATACTCAAACTTTGTATTTCAAATGGTCTGCTTTTTGTGCATTCTGTATAGCACAATGTCCTTCTTCTTTACCTCTACTGTCCTTCAGAGATATTATAGCAGGTTGCCAAGGATGCCAATGTAACAGGTGGTAAATGCCTTTCCTGTTGTTTGTATCCAAAATTATGTATCTATGTTATTTTCCCACATTAGAGTTGTTGTCCCTACAGAAGATGGACGGCATCTACTTTTACCCCTCCCAAGATAAAAAACAGTTATTTTTGCTACTAATCTATGGTTAATTTGCCCAGATTTATTTCAAGTTTATGACATTACTTGGGGGGCCATGGCCACCCAAATCCTCCTTCATAGGTTTGGGTTCTGGCATATTGTGTACACTTTGGTCAAAGAATATGTTTTAATCCTTGGCCAACAAAACTGTTTCGGTATATTTAACGTGTTGAGGTTTTAGGATTTGCAAGTTCTCTTCCATGATTGGGCACTGCTTTGGTAAGCAGGAAAACTAAGCACTCATCTACTTCTTAAGATTGCTTTCATTTCCACAGTGGTTTAGGAGCACCTTTGGCAGCAGAATTTGGTTGAAAGAAGAATACAGTGTCTTCTTTATCTGTGCATAATACATACTTTATACCTAGCGGCTCAAATACTAAGCTTCCTATTCTTAATATGCCTAACATGTTTAAATCTATTAGCACATTGGTTTTTCTAAGTAATTCATGAAGTCACTCTTTTATACTCATATAATTAATAAATGGACTATTGGTGTTGGTTTAGAGGTAAATGATATGGATGACTGATTGAATGTGTTACAGGGAAAGAGCATTGTCTAGAAACCTGTTTGGTATTCTTCCACTTAAATATCTTTGAATGATTCCCTTCAATCCTGTCTTCTAAGTTAGAGGATCTCTTAGATGCTTATAGCTCTGGCATCCTTGGATGATAGTCAGATGATGCTAGAGAGGAGTGTGAAGTTCTCTGACTGGTGTTTTCTGCTGTATCCAAGGCCGGATGCTCCTCAATGACTCAAAGAAGGGCCCTGCTCACCTGCACTACAGGCGACCCTATGGCTGTGCAGTCCTAAGCATCTTGGATGTCCTACAATCTCTCACTGAATTGAAGGAAGAAAAGGATTTTGTTCTTAAAGTTTACACGTGAGTAATGGACATCAGGAATATTAATGATTTGCAGCATAAGATATCCCAGCTCTGCCCTCAAGAGCAGCAGTTCTCAAACCTTATAGACAAAGAATCACCATCATGTAGGATACAGAGTTTTTTTAAAATACAGAGATTTATCTCAGGTTTGGGAAAGGACCCAGGTAATGTTTCTTTTAACAAGTTTCCTGATGATTTCAAATAACAGAAGGTTCCAAATAGCTGAGTTTGGACCTTCTAAAAGGTCCTATACTAAAATGTAATATACATTTCCTTTTCTCTCCAGAATTAACCAACTTTATTATATATTTGCTGAAAAGCTAACAATGTAATTTCTCATGTGTCTTCAACTATAAAAGCATGTTTAAAGAAAAGCCTATTTTTCTGAGGGGCTGAAATCTCTTCATTTTTGCCACCACAGATGTATAAGTCACATTCAACCAGGCATGGCATTATTTTTAATGTACTTCAGGGCTCTGCCTTGTAGAAATAGTCCATCTCCTCCTGACTTTTGCTAAGCAATAGAAAAAAGAGAATTTGAAAGTACACAAAATTTATATAAGCGTATGTTATATCTTTGCTTATAGACACTTAGACACAAATACTAGTGCTAAAAAATGTTCAGTGGTGAATTTAGTGAATTTCTAAAGTAGTGTGTTTCTGTGAGATTTTTTAAAAATTTGTTCTTTTAGTTTCTACCCAATATTGTTTTTCTACATTAAATGAAATGCTGTCAGTCACTATGTTAAATATCTTTACCATAGTATTGTATGGAGTTTTTTTGTTTGTTTGTTTTGGGTTTGGGGGGGGGTTAATTTTTTTGTTTTGTTTTGTTTTGTTTTGTTTTGCTTTATCTGTTGTTTGGATGTGGGCATAAGATGAACTTAATTCACAGTTGCTCTTAATTTGAGCCCTTATATAATCAACCTCATTTGATGAATTTCAAAATACAAACCTAAATCTTCTTATTACTATTTTGCCTTCAACTCTGTCCTGCTCAGAGTTGTATATTATGGAATGAGGATATTCCTTTGGAATGTAACTTACAAAGAAAATATTGGCTGGTTTTCTCCTCCTTTTGTGCATCAGTTACGGGCTTTTCTCCAAATTCCTTCATTGATAGATGGTAGAACAGGCTTTTTCTTATCCCTTCCTCCTTTTGGAAAGAACTAAACAAATCTGAAATCATTGTTACCCTACTTCACTGCCCTTCCAAGGGCAAGAGAATTATGATAGCCCTCCAAAATAGTATCTCTGTGCATTTATCAGCTCTTCCTTGTTTCAGTGCAAGTTTTCATTGCTGGTAGAAGCTTTCACAGAATTTCACCTGAAATCATGCTGTCAGGCTTAATTGGCCTAATTGCTTCTAAAACAACAGTTTTCAGTATTGGCTTATTACTTTCCAAGAAGTGGAAAGTGTATCCCTTTTTCTCCTTCCTTTGTCTAATATATCAGTTCTAAAACCCAAAGAAAAGTGTTTTTAGAAAAGATAGGGGCTTTTTTATTTTCCTTTGAAGGACTAATAGAGGTAAAATGTAGTATAATTTTTCTACTTGAAAACATTAAAAGATTTTCAGATAGACTCTCAAATGCATGTTTGTGAAATTCATTTTGTGTGCAGTAAGGAATTCTTCTAGGATTAGTAATTTAAGTCCTTACCAGCACAGTGGATCTAGCCCTCAGGAGAAACAAATTTTCCAGTAAGTTTTGGGGAATGTGTTTGTTGGTTAGACCTAATTGTAAGCACAAAGGTTTTACTAATTGCTATTGATAGTGCCTTAGCCTTTGGTAGGACAGGATTTTGCAAAGATAAATACCTCCTGTACAGTTTTGTTCAATGAATTGGAAAATATCTCATTGATTCTTTTTTTTTTTTCATTAAGTCAAATACACATAGATCATGAATACATTCATGCATATGTGTGGGTACAATGTACTGATTTTTTTTTATACTATCTGACGTGGTTAGATCAAACCAATCAACATAGCTTTCACCTCATTTACTTGACTATTGTGCCAAAACATCTATGTTCTACACTTAACAGATTTGACTTGTACCCTTGTCATATGCTCCATAGGTGTGGTCCTGCCTTTTACCCTCCCTTTGTCAAGCTTTCCCTCTCCCCTCCCTTCCCACTCTATTTCTCTCCTTCATCTTGGGCTATAGTTGTGTTCTATCTTTCATAAGAAAGTGTGAGTAAATATAAGCAGGTTTCATAGAAGTACTGAGTACATTGGATACTTTTTCCTCCATTCTTGAGACATTTTACTCAGGGGAATATGTTCCAGATCCCTCCATGTAAACATATAAAAGAGGTAAAGGCTTCATCTATGGATTAATAAATTGTGGTATATGTATACCATGGTTGTCGACCTTCTTATCATTTCTTCCATTATTCAGAGTAAGCCGTAACCAGAGAAGATTCAAACTTCTGTCCCTGCCAAAACTACTACTCTGCTCTATAATGTTCTTTAATATCATGCTTATATGGGAAAGCACCACATCCTTTTAAGAAACTCACAAGAAGCTGAGGCATGAAAACTAGGTCACTTCCTCATGAGTCAAAAGCTCTAAAATTCATAAATAAATAACCACTATATGTATTTCAGTCTGATATAGATACCATATTTTTCTTCTTGGCCAGAGAGACAAGGGACAAAGGGTCATATGCAGGTTCAAGGCTTGCTGTTCCTGAAACCTGGTACACAAAAGGAATGCCAGGAGCTAAAGCCAACATTATAGGGGAGAGGTGTCCATAAATAATGCCTGTGCCAAATATAAGATGACTGTGGATAGGTGATGACTACTGTCCAATTTTTTTATTATTTTTTTTATCAAGTCATATACACATAGATCATGAATACATTTGTGCATATGTGGGGTACAAACATGCTTGGGCCAACCTTAATGAAATAAATATTTCAAATATTAAATTTATAATTTTGGTTGTACATTTCATATTATAGAAAATATGTATTATAAGTTATATACTGAATCACATAAAACTGAAAAGTGTTACTCCCTACTCTCACATTTCATGAAAATATTTATACAAATTCTTCCTATGCAGCCATGCCATCAGGTCTTTGTCATCACTAGAGTCACTTTTGAATCATCTGACACAATTTTCTAAGATGCGTGTTATTTTCACTTCGATCAGGTTAGTTTTGATGCATAGCTCTTTGATCCTTCATAATGTTTTCACACAGGAGATTCATTTTGAGGCACAATTGCATGTTTGCTTAATAGTTTAACACAAAGGGTGTGTGGGAGTGTGTGTTTTCATTTGTCCTATAGGCCTCATGATATAGCTATTTACTATGCTGCTTTTAAGGTGATTTTTTCCAATAACATTTAGCACTTCATTTTGGTGATTATTCCCCAAGCATAATTATTTTTTTTCCACACACACCTGGAGCATCTTCATTTTTTTTTATTTAATGGTAACTATGTACATTAATGTACTTCTGGGGTACAGTGTGGTATTTTTGAAACATTTCCATCAAACTGGTGAACATAGCCTTCATGTCATTTTCTTAGTTATTGTGTTAAAACTTTGACATTCTACTCTCAGAAAGATTCACTTGTATCCTTGTAAGATAAACCACAGAAGTGATCCCTCCAATCCCCCTCCCTCCACCTCTCCCCCCTCCCCCCCATATTCTTAGGCTGTTATTAGGTTATAGCTTTCATAT